TACCTGTAAAACTACTTTATCTATGGGTAATTTAATTTAACTATCAATTTTAAGAAGGCCTCAGACATTTGCTAGAGATTATAAACAGATAAGGAGGAAACTAAGGAACACAGCATACAGGTCATGATTAAAATTATGGTGAATTTTTATGCAGCTTTGGGATGCCATATTAAGCATTTACAATGTTGTTGACTGTGGAGAACTAAAAACAGGAAACTCTTTATTTTACACATTACAGTAATGTGCAACTTTGTGCTGTTTTATGATGCAAAAATTCAGTAATACATTTTTGAAGTTTATCATAACTGATAAATGTGAAGAGGTTAAATGGAGGGAGCAAAAAATTTACTTTATGACAAATATTGAACAGATTCTGAATTAGAGATATGATGGATTGTGGTGTGATTTCATTAAGTTTTGCTGCAGACAATGAATGCTTGTTTATCAATGCATGGAACTGTTTCCCAAAACAGTGGAAAAGTGGAACATGTGTAATGGATTTATGAGTAACATAACTGTCTGCTTGTAGATCCGTTCCCTGATTTTAAGAAAAGTGCCGGCTCGAAGCTCCACCTCTAACCAAACAAGAGTAAGTCAAAATTTATTAAAACACAATTGTTCAAAACATGTTTTCAACAAAATACTTAGATTGACCTCTTACTGAATCAGGGTACACTCTGGTTTTCTGAAGTTTCCTTACATTATAATAAATTGAAATGCCAATCTTGTCTTTTTTTTATTAATGGTTTACTTAAAACATATCCTTTATTATAGAGCACAAGTGGTGGAATTTCATCTTTCATCAATATTTTTCGTGGGAGAAGAAGTAAGATGTAGTACTTTGCATATCCCCTTTTTTATCTTAATTCCAATAATCTAACGGTTTGTTGTTTGTTTTCCAGATGCCTACAATGTTTCTCGGGTTGGAAACTCAAACAACGCCAGCAGTGCATCAGAGTTATTAACCAACCCCTAAACCTGTACAAATACTGTAAACTAATGAATCTGTAATGTATTTTATCTGATTGTTTTATCCTATGACATTATAAAGGTCTTTAAACATAAACTTGTTTTACATAGCGAGAGAAACAATGTACGCTTGTATAATTTAAGAAATCATCATTGTAATTGTAGGTGCAAGATCAAAGTGTAAGAGCTTATGAAGGACCAATTAAAAAGCGATTCCTGATGGGGAAAAAGCAAGACTGAAAGTAAATTGGAGGGATGTTCTTTTTAAGGCACACCTTAGATGTTTTTTTTATTCCCATTTCTGTTTTATTTTCTCTTTTCCTGAGCAAGCTCTTTCCTCTTTGTCTCTCATTTTAGTACTTATACATATCTGTATTGGATTTTACTCTTGAAATAATTTTCAATAAAGTTTCATATACAAGTACTAACCGGAACCTTATAACAACAGTGATAATTCAGTTCAATTCAGTTTATTTATATAGCGCCAATTCACAACACATGTCATCTTAATCTCAATGAATGATTGATTGATGAGCAAATGTGTTGGGCTATTATCTAGCTCTGGATATTTATTACCAGAACTATATTGGAAAAACATTACAAACACAAAAAAGAAAAGATACCAGGGTTTCTATTAGAGTGCACCTAGTTCCGCCTCTT